AAAGTTTCTGCCGAAAAGAATGTTCCTTTGTCGAGATATTGAATATTCAAGTAAATTCGTTTTTTGTGACAAACGACCGTTTTCTGGAAGTTTAATATCTCAACCAAGGAATATTCTTTTCAGCTGAAACTTTCATGAAATTCTGAGAGTGATCAGACTTATCTAGGGAGTAAATTTCATGTCGAAATTCCGTTATTTAATTCTTCGGTAAATACTTAAACTTGTATCGAAAATTCAGTAAAACGATCATAACTCGGTCCCAGAGGCCCATGAGGATGAACTCTTGTAGGATTTTTCTAGTCTTGCTAAGATTTCCTTTTGAGCGTAATATAAGCTCAAACGGTTAGTATCGATTCGGATTGTTTCCTCATAAATGGCTGTGTTGTTCAACACGTATATACAAGGTACTGTGTTCAAACTTCAGCATCATCAGTCATGGAATGACCATGAACAAGTCATTTAACGGCTGTTTGTCTCAAACCACTCGTCCAATAGCATGCGGATTACGTTGTGGCATACACCTACTCTTGTAGTTAGTTAGTGTGCATGCGGAGCTCAAGTAGCTACTGAATCTGTCGCTAGACAGCACTCCACACGCAAGGTAGCCGAAAGGCAAGAGTATTCTTCCTTCTACAAAAAAATCTGCTTTACTAGTATATTGCTATCCTAGCCACAAAAGACGAAATGTCATGAGTCTCATCGTGTTGTATCCAACCTTCTTTTCTATTTTTGTTTTTTTTATGAAACATTTTTCAATTTTCTAAATAGTGTATTTTCTGATTTTTGCATCGATAAACGATTACATGATGGATATCAACGATGATGTTTTGATTTCTCATAACTGTCATATGACAAACATAAAAGTATGTACTGATTAAGTTCTAACTTTCAAGAATAATCAATATCAGTGTTTCTGAATTAATAATAAATCGTTAAGATCTACTATAGATATAACGAATGTATACGATAGGTTTATTTGTACATTAAATCAATGGATAGACTAATAATAATAAATTATGAAAAGAAAATAAATACCATACGAATAACAACAAAATAAATATTAAAAAAAACGAGTGCCGATCAAAAACAAAATTTCAGTTCGAAATGTAGAAATAAAAAAAGATAGAGCGTTTGATAACAATCGAATATCGTTAGAGAAGAACTTTTAGGCTCAAATGGACTGCGCGAACAAGATTTTTCTTTACAAACACTATTTTTATAAACGTACCATTTTATGCACTATGTTTTTGTTTATGAAAGAAATTTTGTTTCAGAAACAAATAACTTTTCATAATGTGATGACATTGTTTTATTATTTAAATCATAAATAGGATAAAAAGTCTAATTCATCACCTCAGCATCGTTGAGCAAAATATATTTTTCAAATTAAATTTCAAAAGAAACAACAACAATAATAAGAAAAAAAAATCATCACAGAATGCTACAGATGCTGCAACTAGCAATACTATTATCAACACTTGGTTGCTGATGATAATTTGTTATTGGACCAAGACGATGTTCCAAATGAACGGAACTACGTATTTGAAATGGTTGATTTAAAGATGTACCAACAGTTGGACCAACATTAGCAACTGTTAAAACAGGTTCAATAGGTCTTACATGATGATCACTACCATCTATGTCATTATCATCATAATCATAATCATCTTCACTCATACTACTATTAGAACTTTCATGTGAATTAAGTGAATCAACATTTTGACGACGATTATTTCGTGCTTGTTTTGCGTGTCGAGCCGTTGTTAAAACAGCACAAGTTGAGGATGGATGATTTGTACCACGTTGATCAAGTGACGAGGAATGTACTAATCGATGAAATGTACTTGGTGATGATGATGTTGTATGACGTGCGACAACCGATGCTATCTCATTGTATCGTGCTTGTAAATCAATTGCTTTACCACTACCACCATGTCCACCGGCACCTATATACACATTATCATTAGTTATTAATAAAATCTATATATTATTGACATCAAAATATAAGACAGATCCATGTTTTTTTTTCAATAACTTTTGATAGAAACATCATAGAGACTTTCGATTTTCACCATTCAAAAGAAAAAACTCGGGCTCATCAAAATTTGAGTAGTCACCTATTAATCAATCAGATGAGCTCCTAATCAAGATTTTCGAAAATGATATTTTAAAGTCACTTTCCAGACTTACAATAGAACCAATCGATAGAAAACAATCTTCTCTTTCGGTCTACGCAAGATCAACATTCCTAGCTTGTTCCGTTCGAGAGTTATAAGATGTTTCCTAGAACTTATGATTCCAGCCAATTGATCTGTGATAATCTACAAAAGTAGCTAGGCATGGGCAATTCACTGTGCTGTGTCGAATGGTGATATTTATTTCGTAAGTTCGAAGTGTTTGACATTGTTATCTCAATATTTCTGAAATTACATAATCAGCCTCCATATATAACGAAGGAATCGATATATCGAAAATATTCAGATATCATTGTCAAATCAGTTTGAACCTAAAAACAAATATCACCATGTGAGTCAGCACGGTGAATTACCCCTGTCTAGCTGCATTTCCAGATGATCACATGTCAATTGGCTGAGATCGAGAGTTTCGGGAAAATTCTTACAACTCTCGAATAGAACCGGCTAGGAATATCAGCCTTACACACATCGAAAAAAGAAGAATTTCTTCTATCAATTAATTCTATTGTAAGTCTAAATTGAAAGCAAAATGACTTCAGGATATCGTTTTCAAATATCTTCACTAAGAACTCACCTGATTGGTCAATTGTTGACCAATCAAATTTATATGACTTCAAGCCTTTTCTTTTGATTGGTGAAAACCGAAAATCTCTATGATGTTTCTATAGAAATTTATTGAAAAAACATTAATCTGCTTGATTTTTCGGATGTCAGTAATACTACGAAAATTTTTTACCTTTTAAATCTACATAAGTTAATTGTGAAAGAATTAAACTTGCAGCACCAATTGGTGGCCATGGTGTTGATTCAAACATAACTGGTACAATAGGTTTTTTAAGCATATCAGCTAAGATTAATTCACGTTGACACATATTTGAAACAAGATACATTGGTGTTAAACAACAGATTAAAACCTAAATAGGAAAGAAAATATAAAAAAAAAAGAAAAAAGAAAATCATACGAATTATTTTAATTACTTTAGCATTTCGTATTCCATGATCAATTTTTTCATATAATAATTCTCCGCCACCAATTTGT